GTGTGTCTGATGGGGTGTTTTTATATAGGTGGCTACTTTCAGTTGACCTCTGAGATGTAGAGATAAAGAGCATGATGTAAGGAAGAAAGGTGGCAGGCCTTTGGAGACTCTGTTGGACATGGTTCTGTTGGCCTCTGACATGATAAGACTAGTTGCATTAAAGCCATTAACTGTTTGTGAAGAAACATCTTGGCTGAGATGCTCTTGATAAGGAGCATCTTTGTTGCTTGTAGACTGTTGGCACTAACTGCACCCCCTCTGATTAGCTATGTGTAATCATCGAGTCTAACTGTTGCAGACTAGTAGATAATTATAAGACTAGTTGCATTAAAGCCATTAACTGTTTTGAAGAACACCTTTGGGCTGGGATACTCTTGATAAGGGCTCCTCTTTTGTTGCTTCATCCTTTTTACAGACTGTTGGGAGCCTAACTGTACCCCCTCTGTCTAACTGTTACAGAGTGGCCTAGGTGTGAATATGTGTTTTTAGAAGTATCACAGTTTATTTCTAAAAGAATACATGTTGTTTGCGGTGCTCTATTTAAAACTATTGGCCTGTGAAACTTTTAGAAAAGTGAAATGCCTCTAAAGTAGTTAAATCATCTATGTGTAATCATCGAGTCTAACTGTTGCAGACTAGTAGATAATTATAAGACTAGTTGCATTAAAGCCACATTGAGGATGATACAGCGCAAGTGTGAATATGTACTTTTAGAAGTATCACAGTTTATTTCTAAAGGGATACATGTTGTTTGTGGTGCTCTATTTAAAAACTACTAGCCTGTGAAACTATTAGAAAAGTGAAATCTTCCTAAACTAGCTAAATTAAATGCTGTGTGGGAATACCGGTTTTTAGAAGTATCACTGTTTATTTCTAAAGGGATACCTGTTATTTGCGGCCTCTGTTTGAAAACTATTTGCTCCTAAATAGCACTGAAGAAAATGCAAAAGGCTCCTAACTAGTTAAAATACCCCTAAAGTAGTTCAATTAAATCATCTATGTCTAAATAACAGAACTCTGAGACCTATACAATCCTTTAAAAAGAGTTTAATTAAAACACATAATGGTTTCATTAAATAATACGCTATTAAACACATGTGAACTCATATGACCCCTGGACCCACATGCACGTGCAAAAAGTCCGTTCTCGCGCACGTGCACACGCACATGGACGCGGCGGGGGATAGGGGAGGGGGGGAAATGCCTGTGGGGGTGGGGGCAAAAAAGCTATAGGTATATTACTACTGTCCAGTCATCCAGTTTATGATACATTAGCAGACAATCCAGAGGCTTAAAACTCGTTGAGAGGTTTTTTTCTAAAACCACATTATGAGATCACTAGCATAAGCTTTTTAAATTTGTTCTCAATTTTAATCTACTTTTCTAGCATGCTTTATGTGAAGCAACTCGCAAGAACAAACAGAAATTGATCTAAGTGAGGTTCACAAACTGTCCATTTCACTTTCGCTTGTTAACAGATCGAGAAAGGTCGACGTAACGTGGTTACTATAAAAATTTGCCATCCAGTCTTGGAAATTTAATGACTGGGTTAACTGAGCTTGTGCAGTACAAGGATGCTAGTGAACCAGTGTTGGCCACACCCCGTCTACTACTGATATCAAGACCTTTTCACTGCATCTTTCAGCCAGATGCTTCGTGTAACAACTGAGTAGCGTAGACTATTGAACAGCTGTATATCATTTTAAAGTGTTGAGGCTTCTCCCAGATATTGCGAGTGGTTTATCTCATAAAGATTTTACAAGGCTCCACATGGCTGCTGGAAGATAACAGAGTCTTTCCAGATGATCCCAAAATCTAGGAACAAATCTGAAAACTGTGGTGGAGGTTTAAGGGAGTTGGATAAGTTGGGGAAAAACGTCATATATTGCATGCCCTTCTTGCCTTCATAAGGCAGTTCGATAGAGATGACAACAACTGGGCAAAGAGAAAGGTCTCATCAGAAATTTCTGGGATGTCTTTTCTACATTTTCTTTAATATACAAAGAATGGGATCTGCTAGCATATTCCCAATAGAGCTGCCAGAACATAAAAGCTCAGAAGAAACCAGCACATGAGTACAAATAAAGTGAGCAGTAAAGAATCATACTGGAATTTCCAGTAGAACCAGGCAACAAGTTCACCATCAAGAAAACTACACTCTGTCCCTTGAGAGTTCTTCTTCCTCTCCTCTCCACTTCCTGTTGGTTTGACCTCAGCTGTTTCCCATGACCACATTTCTCTGGGGCGCTGTCACAGCATGCATTTTTACTATAGCATATAAATAGTCTCCCTTGCTGTATGATCTAAAGAGGCCAGGCTATTTGATAGATACTTACCGAATACCAAAGCAGCTATGGCAAACAACAAATTCAAAGGCCAGAGAAGCCAAGACAGCATTAGAGGACAATTTCCCTTTCCCCCCCAGCCACTGTCTAAAGCCTGTATTGGCTGCCTTTTATACTCCAAGGGCATCCATTTTGCCAATCACATTAGACTGACACAATCCAACCAATTGAATTAAGCTGCAAAAATAACATCAGCATCATCACCAAGGCAATTCCAGCTCCTGTTACTCAGCATCGCAGCAAAGTGTTTGATTATTTTAAATGAAGGGCACTGGGCAGAGAGAAGATGCTTTCCCCTCACATAGAACAAAAGGCCAACATTCCAGGTGACAGGTAAGGTTTCTTCACGTTTGTCTGCTGAAATGCATCCACCAATTTCAGCTTTGCACATTTTTCAAATGTCATACTCTTTATGCTACTGTGCTATTAGCTGGAAAAATGCAAAAACAACTGGGGGAATTTTAGTTTTTTTTAAAAAGGGTGGGGCCACTTATAGAAGCAATACATAGCAAGAGACATAATCATAATAATGAGGTATTAAAACAAACTTTTGCTATTATAAAAAGGAAAAGAAAACCTTATTTTTTCTATTGTTTCTATATGGTGTGCTATTTGTAAAACACCTACCCTTAGTTATGGTAATGCGTTACTGGAAGACAAACAGTTGGACCCAGGCAGCTCCCAGCTTTCAGCATTTATTGTAAACTCAAACATGCAGTCATTTGCAACTGGAAATTATCACAGATGGCAGATCCAGCCATCTAACAGAACTGATTCCCCCATTTCAAATTACACACCACGCATGCATCTTTTCATTACTGATCTCAGCTGCTTGCCAGCATTGCTTTGCATCACTGCAGCTCAATGCAGGATACATTTGCAATACTTGGGCTTTGCAGGGCTTACCTGGCATAAATGTCTGCAGCACATCAAAAACCAAGTAGAAAAACCATACATCTATAATGTGAGCACCATAAACACCAATTTACTCGCTTTGAATGTGTTCACTGAAACTTGAACTGTGCACTGAAATGCAGGCAACATTATAGTTAGTCAAAAAACTCCCCGACCTCTTCAGAGGTGTGAAAATAAATATGTGAATGATGTGGAATATCATTTTCTCCCTGTGGTCGGGTGCTCGCCTTAAGAACAAGTCTGAAGCCGCCTTCAAAACATGTTTATCTGTAGGTTACAGTAACTATAGAAGCAGAAGAAATATAACAGATGAGGAGAAGTCAATGAGTTACCATAGTAGGACAAAATCAAAAAAGCTTTCTTGTTGCTTGTTCTCCTCTTAGTCTGCAAAAATACTTTTGAGTCTCTCCCCTTTCACTTTATTTTCTTTTAGAAAAACTTCTTGTTTTCCATCTACTTCCCCTCTCTTCATTTTCTTTCATCATCTGTGTTTTCCTCATCCTCCTCACGTCATGTTTGTGCATCCTTTTCATTTCCAGCTGTCCTCCCTACCATCATCTATGCATTTCTATCCATTTGCTCTACAGTTCCGTCTCAAAGAAACAGAATTAAATCTGCTTGGCAGCTGCCAGGATTTTGTGAACGCGTATATGTGTGCCGACGCTAAACCACTGCCCAAGGGATATGTGAATTTAACAACGTCATCAAGTTATCACACACACCTGCATATCGAGCAAGGCCAGGCTTGCAGCTAAGTAGCCACACAACAGCAAACATCTTATTTGTACGAAACGCTGAAAGACTTTCACTGTCCTCCTGGTCCAAAGAGAAAAGTTACTATCAAACTGCACCACAATACCAGCAACTTTCATTTGGTTTGGATTTTTGCCTCCAAAAGTTACATTTCATTCAAAGTTTTCATTCTCTTCTCCCAAGATGATTTCAGCGTTTTATGGGATGCAAATTTACACTGATTTATTAGAGTATTTAAATACAAGCATCTTTACAACCCTCAAGGAAAAGAGGAAAATACTTAGTGTAATTTAAGCCCATAAAAGTACACAATTTCCAGTAAAGGATCACCTACACTGCACTCTTTCCCTCAAAGACAATACTTATAACAGCTTGACTGACAACAATTGATATGTGATTTAAATTAATATCATAAAGAGTTGTTTCACGCTTAAAGGTGTGTGTTGGGTTTAATTTTACACCCCTGGTTGAATCTCTGAAATGCTTTCATGAGCTCTGAGCCAACAGATTTCTAGCCTATAAAACATGACTGCAGATATGTACCCAGGATAATTTACAGCTAGTTATTACTTGTGTGGAATTTAGCAGTTCTGCAGTTTCATCTTTCTTGCTAAATACAGCAAAATGTCCTCAGCATGTTATTAAAAAAACAAAACCATCCAGTGTTTGAGGGATATTTGTGAGGAAGTTTTTATGCCATGTAACTTGAATGTGTCCTGCAATAATTGTAACTTAATAGTTACATTAAAAAGCCAATTTAGAAAAACAGTAAAAGAAGTTAAAGAAGTGAGTGCGAAACAGTTCTGCTTCACTTCACCTCCAAGCACACAAAGTCTTAACTCCTAGCAGTTCAAACATGCACACTAGTTCAGTGCAGCGATTAGAAGGGATTTAAATGGTTAAGACTCTCCGGAGCTTTACCGTATTTCTCTCGCTTTTTTGCAACAAATAATCCTAAAGGTAAAAGTGCCCATACACCAGTCTTACCTTGAGAGAGTTGCAGAGCGACACAGACGGGCTGCTGCCTGCAGCCTGCACATCTGCTGGGGATGTAATGCAAAGCTGATAGGAGACCCCCACTGCCAGAGTACTGATTACAGCACCCTGGTTTTGGGACGGTGTAGTCTTAGCGGGCAGATGGTATCATCCATTTCAGTTACTACAGTCAGAGAAAAGCCCCGACCCCGGAGTATCTGTCAGGACCGCAGCAGACAACGAAAAATTGAACTACAGTACGCGTCTTCGTTTTATTTCTCTACTGCCAATTAAAAGGCATGTAAAAGTGGCGCTTCGTTGGCTACCTTACAGTTACCTTCTGATGCTGTGGCAGGACCAGGCGGGGCAAATGCAAATCAAGGTGGTGCTAATTGGCTGGAAAAGCCCTCCGGCAGCACTGTCTTTGGAGGGTGGAGGAGCAGGACTTAAAGGGTGTCCTGCTCTGTCAGAAAAGGTACCCGTGTGCGTGTTATCCGCTGTGAAGGCTAGAGGCGTTTCTGTTTCTCTGCACCGTCATTTCTTTTAAATTATGATCTAAATAAACCCCCGATTAAAATATAATCAAACGTTTAGGTTACACGAGACTTTTCGGGGTTTTGAGTGTAAGTTAAATCTAATTATGGCCATTGGGTTGCAGACTTGATTACTGAGTCACTTGCAGGTGGTACAGTTAGCACCATTTGCGATGTATTTATTTTCAAGAGCAAAGGTAAGCAAAATTAAAAGTAAAATATTTAAACGGATACAAAACTTTCGAACGCAGTAGCTAGTTAGCATTCCGGCTTAGACATCCTGATAATTTACATGCTAATCAACCGGGCGCCTTTTCAAATTAAGTTTAAACCAATGACTGTAGAAAACTGTTTTCTATAGTCATTGGTTTAAACCTGGACAAAAAAGGTGAAACAAATCAACCCACAAATAGTCATTAGCCAACTCTAAAGTTGTATATACCTTGTTCACATTGTAGACTTTATTTTTTTTTTTTAAGAAAAATAGAATTAATAACTTAATTAAATGTACGTTTCCACCTGGTCTCCCTAACTTTCATGTTTCGTCTGCTACTTTCTGGCGAAATCGTCTTCCTTTCAAAATAAGACTTCCGTCTTCAAAATAAAGACTGAACTAAAACCTAAAACCACTTAACTTTATACGTGAGTTTTTGTTCTGCGTTGTTGTTTGTTGTATTTGTCACCTCACGTTACACTTTTTGATTGAAACTAAATCTGACGGTTTTTAAGTTACAAAATATAGCAAATCAATTCATCAAGAAACGTAAGCGAATCAGCAACAATCCCTCAAGAGGGGCTGATCCCAAAACGCATACGGCTCTTTGCATCACAATATCTAAGTACTGGTATTACTGGGCAACAGCTGGGAATAATCGTGTAGTATTTAAGAAGGGACGATGCCATCTTGTGGAGGAAAATGGAAAGCCACAAATTGAAATGGTTCTTTCCAAAGTAGCACTACCTTTACTCCACTAACGTTGAGCTTTGAAAGTCATATATTTAAATGGCTATAGAAACATTATTGGTATACAGTCCTAATCTGCACTGTATGTTATGTATTTCATCTGGAAAACTGCTTTTCCAAATATGTGGAAATTATTTTGTTCTGAGTCTTTTGAACTGATGAAATTTGAATAAATAGTTAATAGTGTACCACGAGTAGTTCTCAAGAGTAGGCAGAGAGGAAATAGAAAAATGTATGTATTATCAGGTAAAATGGTGCCAAAAGACTTCTGAAATATTTTCAGCTGTCCCTTTAGAGATACAGTCACTATTTCACAGAGGTAATCAATCACTGATTCACTATATCTGGTGCCCCTTTGTAGGTTATCTACAGATACAGAGGTTAGAGGGCAGATATGATGGTAGCCCCCCTTTGGATATCTGCTGTCATGTTCAAATCTGTTAAATGTTTTCTTTTATTTAATTTTCATCCTTTGGAAGTTGATTATTGATTCTATAAAATATAACATCACCTTATTCTTTCCATTCACCTAAAACGGCAACATAAAACTGATCTGATCTGACAAGTTACAAAATAAATACATAATAAAATAATTCTGTCACCAATGTAAAAATAAATCCTTGATAATTACAAAGTGTGTCATTTGTAATGTTCTTTCAACCAGTGGTCTGAGTTACAATTTCACATAAATCAGCCCCAGTGTTGCTTCACATTTGACTGATGGGTGTATTGGTGCTGATGTGACATTCACAGTATAATTAGACTCTCTTTAGACAGCGACATTCCAGCTTTGGTGAAGGTGCTGTATTTGATACGTTAAAATAGTAGGGATCACTTGTGAAGACTAATCTGCAGTGTTAAAGTTTAATTTTAATTTTTAATTTGTTATTTTACTTTAATCGTTTAGTTGTTACTTTTATTGAAGTAAGATGTCTCTCTCAGCAGGGCAGCCTCCAGATTTTTTTTAATGGGGTGGCCATATGGGGGGTCACTAAAAATATTGGGTTGGCACACCAAAAACAGAAGAGTGCAGGGGTGCAGCAGAGGGGAGGGGGTGACGCCTGGAAATTGTGAGGAACATGCAAAGTGACACAATCCGAATGACAAAAATTGTATAATCAGGAATAAATAACAAGTTAATGTTTCAACTCATTGCAGGGTGCCTTCCTCTCTCTTGTGCTCACGTTTATTAAAATTATTACCAACATAAGACAATCTTACCGGGGCGACCCTCAAATTTTGAGGGGTGGCCAGTGGCCCCCCCTGGCCCTCCTTAGTGGTGCCCTGTCTCTCAGGACTCATACTCTAAGCTGGAAGGAGGAGGCAAACTGCTCTGCGATACTATGATATATCATACTATCTGCAAAATGGTAATGGGTTACAAGAAGTCACGAAAGTATATGAAAAATGTCAACAAATATTTAAGACAAAAGACAAAACAGAACCAGCCCTTTACTTTATGACAGCTCGATAACCAATAAAAAAATTGGTTTTGATTGGCTTACGAGCCTGCTTGTATTGCACAAGCAGGCTCGTAAGCCAATCAAAACCAGAAAAGGGCGGGCGCTGGATTGTTGTGGTTGACGTTTTACTTCCTCTTTCTTTGCGGCGTGAAATCAATAAACTGCAGCAGCGAAGCTCAAGTAGGAAGAGAGGAGAATCCGCGAGAAAAGCGACTTCACGAAGGAAAACGTCTGTCGCATGTTTTATGTAGAAAGTCAAAAAAGTAAGAAGAACGAAAATAGTCGGTCGAAGAGCTCATGTGATGTGAAGTGAGACAATCGGGGGCTGCTGCTGCTCACAAGACTGCTGCATGTGATATCGATTACAGAAATAAGACACAGGGATGACCACAGCCCTGCTTCGGGCCCACATGGACGGCTAGAAATTCAGGCTTGAATGCAGAGGTTTGTAGTGTGTTTTTTCTTTTTACCTTTATTACAACCGTGTTGTTCCCGCAGGTCTCTGAGATTTAATTGCGATAGTTTCGCCTTTCCCCCCCTGACTGATGTTAAAGTTTGAGAGAAAGTCTGCAGAAAGAGTTTTTAGCCTAATTCACTGGTCAAAAGTAAGTTGAATTGTGACGCAGACCTGCAGATCAGTAAAAAAACAACAACTTTTCCTAGTAAACGCCAAAAAATATCTACCAAAGAAATGGTGGAAGTACACTTTCGTGTGAAATTCATGTGTGTGTGATATGATGTTTATGTGTAAAAAGTAAAAAAAAAAAAAAAAACTGCACGAGAATTATATGTGCAAGTATGCAAATTAGCCCAATGTGTCAAATAAAGGAAAACTTTCCAGATGGCATCAGTCCTCATCGATAAACAATCCAGTGCCTGAGACTAAGTGCATCCCTTTTCTTGTAGTAGTCCTGTTTACCCTGATGGATGAAGCCTCTGAGAAACACAGATAAAGTAAGAATGAAGCACCTTAACTAATGTTTTGGGTTTTTTTTTTTCTTGTTTTAAATTTCCACCTTGTACAGAGTCCTCTTGCCAGAAGACCAAACATGGTGCACGTCTACAACTGCCATCCTTTCTCCTCTCAGCAGATTGTGCAGGTAAAGTGAAACCTGACTGACGCTGATCCCATGTCAGCCGTGTTTTATTACTATGCTCTCGTCTTCACTGCTTTCCCACTCTGTGGCTCAGGTGGAGAAGGAACCGGACTGGTCTGCTGTGGAGGTGGAGCTATTTTTGTGGTGGCGACTGGAGGATGCAAGGTTGCTTTAATGTGCTTATGTTTACAGTTTGTGACCTTTTTAAAAATGTATTTATTTTAGTAATGACTTTGGTGGTAGCGAGGCAAAATAAGATAAAATAGTCAGTTTTGTGTTAAGCCTCTCCCACCAGATGTGCAAAGGTATTTGAGGGCATATCAGTCCCGTTAACTCCACTGGGACGAGTTAATTTCGCTCCAGACCACTTGAATTACATCATGCTCAAAGGTTATTATTGATGTTTTGTCTTCCTCATCTTACTTAAGCATTTAGTAACTAACCCTTTGTAGTAGCCTGACACTGTTGTGCTGAACTGAATCCAGGTGGAGGCGTACAATGTGGAGGTGGAGGGCTGCCCCTCATCTGCCGCTTTTCCACCATGGGCGCTGTGAGGAGCATCCAGCATAGCAAGATAGGTAAAGACATTTCCTGTCTTCCTCTACCCTCTGTACTGACATTCACTTTTTTGCTGTCTGTCTCCCATATGTGAGCAAAATGGCTTCAAGTGATGACAGTGTAAACTGGAAAGGCATCAAAATAAAGACTCTAGACACTGAAAAATCTTGGGTTTTATCACTGCCTCCTCTGTGCTCACTCACTTCTAGGAGACTACCTGGTGACCATTGAGGAAAAGAACAATGCCACCTACCTGAGAGCTACACCAA